TGCCCCCCCCCCCTCCTTAAAACTGGACGATTTCAAGAACTGTGATTTAGATTTTTTTTTCCTTGTTGCTATGGAGACCACAAGAAACCTGGAAGGGACTTAAACTCACTCCCCAGGCCAAAATGAACCCCTGTCACGAAGAATAAAAATAAAAATAGCGGTAGCATGAAGAAGAAAAAAAATAGAGGTAAGAAAGAAAAGAGAAGAAAATAATAGAAGAGACAACAGAAAATGGAGAAACGTGGGTCGAAGATCGGCCAGGTTAACCAGCAGCTGAGGAGAAGTTATGATGTAATTTACATTTCAAAAACCAGAAGCCATTCATTTACGAATGTGATTGCACTTTAGATTTGAATGAGGCAAAATAACATGCTTTTTCTCTCAAATATATTGTTAAGAATCATTTGTTTCAGATGTACTGTAATTATTTTCTGTATAAATATTAATTTGGTGTTCAAAAAGTCTTTTTTCACACTTGAGTCTTGAAAAAGAGGGGGGTCGTCTTATAATTGGGGCCGTGTATATTCGGGCCAATACGGTATTTACAGTCACCAGTTTGCTGTTAGCGCTTAAATGACTCATCTCTATCCGGCTCCATGTTTTCGTCCCGCTTCTAGACAAATTCTGGTACTGCCGGCTTTCGCCCAACCACAAGGTCCTGCACTACGGGGACCTTGAGGAGAGTCCCCAAGGGGAGGTACCCCACGACTCTCTGCAGGACAAATGTGAGCACCCGCCGTTTTGTCACATGACCGGAATAAAATCTGTTAGCGTTCAACGGCATGTTTTCTCCGCAGTGCCCGTGGCGGATATCAAGGCGGTCATCACGGGAAAAGACTGTCCTCACATGAAGGAGAAGGGCGCTCTCAAGCAGAACAAGGTGTGCTAACGCTAACGAAAAGCATTAACAGCGCTATTATCAACAGACCGTTGATTAGCGTGTATAATATTCTGCCCCTCCCCCTTACAGGAGGTGCTGGAGTTAGCCTTCTCCATCCTATACGAGTCGGATGAGTATTTAAACTTTATTGCCCCGGACAAGCACGAGGTGAGATGAGCCAAGCGTCGGCTAAGGGACTCAGTGTTTGTCAGTGTGTCGTCAATCGTTCATTGACATTTCCCCCCATTCCATGTACAGTACTGCGTCTGGACTGATGGTCTGAACGCACTTCTGGGCAAGGAGATGACCAGTGACTACACCAAATCCGACATGGACACACTGCTCTCCATGGAGATGAAGCTCCGCCTGCTGGACCTGGAGAACATCCAGATCCCCGAAGCCCCGCCCCCTATTCCCAAAGAGCCCAGCAACTATGACTTTGTTTACGACTGTAACTAGCTTAGCTTAGCCAAGAAACTCTTGGGGGGTTTTTTTTGTTTGTTTTGTTTTTTTATGATTTGTCCTCAGGGCTTCTGTGCAGGGAGGGTTGGCCATGTTAGTTAAGTCCACTTATTTCCTGTCACAATGACACAAGTTTCGCCATGTTTGTGGCAGCTAAATGTTTTTTTCCCACTCCCATGAGAAGTACTTTTAACACACACAAAAAAAAAAATCTCACTTCTTGTCCACTCAAGACTGTTAGAACTTTTTTCCCCCTTTGTCGCAAAATCACCGACTGACTGCTGTACACCACATTCCTGAGCAATATTGAGTTTATCATTCAGTTTTTATTTCTTGAATTGTGATGCTGTTAGAAAAGTTTTTTGGGGGGTGGAAAGGGGAAGCTATTATGTTCTTTCAAAGTTTTTTTTTTTTTTTTTTTTTTTACAAACGGACAATGGTTGTGATTTGTAGTATGATTTATATTATATGTATATATTTTAAAAAATACAGTATTTCCAAACCCCTACACCAGGGGTGCCCAAAGTCCGGTCCTCGAGGGCCCCAATCCAGCCTGTTTTAGGTCACCCTCTTCCAACACACCTGATTGAAATGATCAGAATTGTAAATTGAGGCTTCTCAGAGCTTGCCGATGAGCTGATCATTTGAATGATCTCAAACAGGCTGGATCCAGCCGTGCTCTTCAGCACTGGACTTGGGCACCGCCCACCGACACTCACTCCCCCCAATCCTTTCCTATTTAAGACTGTCGTCACCTTATGTCTTTAGGATTTTTCAAAGCCCCACAAAACTGCTGTTTACATTAAACGTTGAAAGGTATAAGGTGTTTTTTTTTTCTCTCTTTTGACAAAATTCACACAAATTCCCACAAAAAAAAAAAAAAGTCAAATGTCAAAATGTGTCTCAAATGAATCTTTTCATTTTAGTTAATGGTCGCTGGAGTTTTCAGGAAGCCAAATTTAAAACCTCCCATTCACTCAATATTAGCATTCAGATCAGCCTTAAAAAAACTTTCACAATAAATATTAATTTCTCGTGCCCCCAAAATTTATTTAAATTCTTAAACGATGTTTTATACACAAATGTACAACAATTTGAGTAATTAAAGACAAATTATAAGTGACAATTGCCTCTTAGTGTGTCGTCACGCTAACGTGACGCGTTGTCCTGCTTGGAATGTTGGCATGGTGGTTCTGCCTCCTGAAAAAGCTTCGTACCTGCAAACACGATGACACATAAAATATTTTGTGTACATGTGTGTGTATAACGTAACAATTTGTGCGGCACCCACAGAGTTGCGTATCTGCTCCAGTCGTTCTTGCCAAGTGACGGCCTGGTGACGTCGAGCGCGGCGAGCATGTGGCTGCGACGCAGCAGGAAACCCGCCGGCTGGCTGGAAGTCCCACCCCCCCCAAAAAAAAAAAAAAAAAAAAAAAAAAAAAAAAAAAAACACATTAACGGAGTGCAAGTGAATACAACCACAAAGGGGGTGGAGTGTCATGGAGAGCTGACTGACCATGGCCCTGCGGTGGTTGAGCTTGATGCACGCGACCTCCTGCTGGAGGTGTCGCAGCTGCTCGTCGTCGAGGTCCTGGAAGCCGCTCCGGATGGAAGGCATGGCGAGCGGGGGCAGCGAAAAACTGGACTCGGTGGTCAGAATGTCCACGTCATGTCCGGAGAAACGCTGAGGGGGTAAGGGGAAGAAAAAATTCACGTCAATATTTTCTAAGTCACCAAACTCAGCCACCCACGTGGAAGGATGAAACCTGAAATCGGTTGCAATTTAGTGTCATTGGACTCGACCCCTGAAAATGTGACCATTTTTCAAATTGAACCTAAAATGTCCATTTGGAACCAAAATGTCAGACTTCCTGCTTCTTTGTGGTCATGGCTTCTTGAGACTTGTTTTGTGGGTCTAATTATAGACATGCCTCCCCTAATTCATGGTGGTAGTAATGGGCCAAAATATGTCCGATTAGTCTGTCTTAGAAGGAACCCTTAAAATGGCTACAAAATTCGTGTAAATTGGCTACTTCCTGTTTTTTGTTGATTTTTTTGTGGGTCTAACTTATATGTCTACCAAATTTCACGTTGTTAAGTTGAATGGTCTGCGTGGGCTGAAATCTTGTTTTTATTTTAAGAACCAATTGAAATTGACAAAATGAACCTAAAATGGCTGCAAGAAAGCAAAATAGAATAAAAACAGTTTTTGTGGCGTTTTTTTTTTTTCCAATGTTGCTTTGTCTACTGGGCAAAACTTCCAGGCTAAGTTTGTCCTATGGATCCCAGAAAATTGCCACATTTCATCCTAAAATGCCTGCTTTGAATCAAAATGACAAACTTTTTTTTGTGGATCTACTTGTGATTGACACGCCTACCAAATTCCATGTTGCCAATCATGGGGGCCGAATTTTTACAACTCTCCAGCGGCATTATTGAAAAGCATCTCCGACATACATTTCCTTCAGCAGATTGGGGCTCGGAGGAGCCATCGAAGTAGAGCCTCCAGACATCACCGCCGGTTTCTTGGTGTTGGCGATTGTCTGAAACTTGAAGGTCGACGGGCTCCGGGCTCACACTGCCGTCCCCCGTGACGTCATCCGCCAGATCATCGGAACCGCTGCTGGTGTTCGGGAAGCTCATGGCGGACAGGCTCATGTCGCACGTAGTCTCCTGGCTGCTGTTTATCGCCTCCAGCTGGGCGTTGTAGAGCAGAGCTTTAAGATCGGCGCCGGTGAAGCCGTGGGTCCGTTCCGCCAGCTCCTTCAGGTCCACGTCCGGAGCCAAGGGGACGCCGGTGCTCAGGATCTTCAGGATGGCCGAGCGGTCCTCCTGCGGAGGGGGACAGGGTTGTTGAGACGGCCAAGAGCGACTTCCTGTGACATCATCAGACCTCGTCGGGCGGCGGGCAGTACAGCGACTTGTCCAGTCGGCCTGGACGCAGCAGAGCACGGTCAATGAGGTCCGGGCGACTGGTGGCGGCCAGCACATAAACGCCTGAAAGACAACATATTGTCACGTAAGAGAGACACTCTCGCACTCACAAATAGGTACTCTCACTCTCACATGGACGCTCTCGCAAACACACACTCGCCTGGTTGAATAAGGGCTCATTCTTACACAAACTCGCACACCTCTCGTACTCTTGCACTTTTCATACTTCCCCCCCCTCAATTGAAACTACCAATGAACCGTTTTGAAACCCCAACTTTAGTTTAAAGCTCTACTTTGAAATCCTAAACCTATTTTGAAACCCGACTTTGAAACCCTAATGCTAGTTTGTAAGCCTTATCAGAAACGCGAACCCGAATGGAGGGCCATTAAATATACGGGACATGTAGGTGACTAAGTTGACCGCTAGGTGTCACCATTGTTTCTGTTCACAAGCCTATTTAAGGAGGACCCCGGATGTTGCTGGCCGGACGCAGATGAACAACGCTTCAAGGGAGAGCCAACATTTACCATTATGAGGACTTCAGGATTCAAGAGTGGCTCTTTCACCGCCACCGGGACTTTCATGGCGCCCACCAAAAGGTGGTATGTGACAACTGACTTGTTGCCACCATTTTTCGTGTGATCACATCACTCAGGTTTTTTTTTTTTTTTTTTTTTTTTGTGCACTCCTCTCAGAAAAATGTAAACCCGAACCACAGTTGAAAACCCAACGTTGAAACCTTGACCCATGTTTGAAAGCCTATGTTGAAACCCTAACCCGAGTTTGAAACCCTACTTTGAAACTCTAACCCTACTTTAAACCCTTTCAAAATAGGGATTAAAACTTGGTTTGGGGTTTCAGTGTAGTCTCTCTTTCACTCTCTCACATTCGCTCACATACACACCTTGCAGGCCCTCAACGCCATCCAGCTGAGTGAGCAGCTGGTTGACGACGCGGTCAGTTACGCCGGTGCTGTCGTGACCCCGCATTGGCGCCAACGAGTCAAACTCGTCAAAGAAGACCAAGCAGGGCTTGGCTGCCTCGGCCCTGTCAGTGCAAAAAGCGCAAGCACAATTACAGTCAAGCGTCGCCCTCCGGTGGACAGCGTGCTCAACTACAGTTTCATCATTCCTGGCTAACTTGGAGGAGCCACCATTTTGCGCCCATTATCTCAGGTGCGACTCTGACAACACAAAATGGTGGGATGGGATGAACCACGAGCGCTCGTCACCTCTGGAAGACGGCTCGCACCGCCTGCTCGCTTGCCCCGATGTATTTACTCAGAAGCTCCGGACCCTGGAACACACGTATGAAGATGACAGTTAAAGCAAGACTAATGCACACTAACCCGCAAACACAAACGAAAGTACCCCCAAACGCTAGGACACGGTCACGCTAAAAAGCAACAGGTTGGGCTCTCTCCAGTGGCACACGAAAGAAGAATTAAATGTTCAAACCGCATCATGATACAGAGGCTTGAAACTTTACTTTCAAATACGTTTCCGTGCAGTTCAGTTATATTTAACTTTGAAATACAATACGCTTGCATTTCATCCTTTCAATCTGCATTTTAGGAGATGGTGCAAAAGTTTGGCGAGTCACACACACTTTGACGCTGATGAAGTTCATGCCGCTGTCTTTGGCGATGGCCTGGGCCAGCAACGTCTTCCCCGTGCCCGGTGCGCCGTACAGCAGAATTCCCGAGCAATGCCGGATGGGAAGCTTGGAGAACAGGATGGGGTACTGAAACGCAACACTGCCATCAGCGCCTGTCAAAAGTGCACCAGATGCGTTGTCAGCTGACCTTGGCGGGGAGCAAGATGGTGTCCATCAACTGTTGCCGCACCTCCGTCAGCCCCCCGACGGTCTCCAGCCCTCCTCCGGTGGGACTGTGCAGGTCCGCCCCCCACCGGGACGGCGGGGTGAAGTCCCCGAGAGCCTCAGCAAAGTCCAGCCGCGACAAATACACGTCTGCGAAACACACACAGGATGCAGTGTTTACCACACAGCACACTCGTTGGAGACTCTCCGTGACGATCCAGGCTGAAATGACTCCGGTTCAAGGGATCATCAACGGTGCGTCATCTGTTCAACGCTACCAGTGCTGTCGTCTTGTTGTTGGCGTGCAGCGTTGGCGTGGAGGGCTCGCTCCAGCAACAGCAGCAAATCTTGAGGTAGGTACCCCTCTGTCTCCTTGGCAACGGCGGCCAGGTCCAAGTTCACCGAGTCCGGCGGCGACGGGCCACATCTTGTTTGGATCGCGTGAAAAAGGATGTCTGCTCTCTGGGCCTGCGCGCACACATACACGCATGCATCTCCGTGTGCGATTTGGCTGGTGATCGTATTTGTTGGGTGTGCTTATATGAGAGAGAGAACGCCCCCCCCCC